GAACAGAAAGGTGGATTCTGTTCATGTGGACGTAGCGTTCACAGCGGGAGAAAACGCTGAGAACGCTACGTCCACGTGAACAGAAAGGTGGATTCTGTTCATGTGGACGTAGCGCTCACAGCGGGCGGTGTTTTCTCCCGCTGTGAACGCTACGTCCACATGAACAGAATCCACCTGTTGGGATTGACTTACCTGGATCACTGAGCTGAGTAATTATGAAGATAATCACTCTGTTTCGCTGCTCATGCAGCAACTGAACAGCCTCCTCAAAGATCTACAAAAAGAAGCGAGGGCCCTAACGATACAGTTTCTCGGCCTGTCTTTCTGGGAACCTGTGGATCCTTTGTGTACGTTGTCGTCACTCGCAGATCGTTGCGTTTTGTTCTCACTGGCTGGAGAAACGCTTTTGTTACTTTCTAAACTTCTCAGCGCGTTCCTGGAGCCGCTCGATGGTTTCAGCTCTGCTTTTAATAGCTCCACGACGGCTGCTACAAAAGTCGCGCCACCCTTGTCCATCACAAACGGAAGCACGTATTTGGACCCAAATTTGCGACACAGGTCTTTGTACATTATGATGTACAAGTTTTTTACCGTTTTTAGAGGAGTCAAGTCTCCCCCAATCTTCTCTCTTATATCAGTCACTATCTGCTGAAAATTCAGCTTTACAGCAGTTGTTTGTGTTTTCTCAGAAACGTGAGCGACTAAATTTGCAAGACACAAACTGAGAAAGGTATCGGTCTCTGCAGGCGTAGGAAGCGTCCCAGACGAACACCGCGGGGCGTCGCTGCATTTTTCTTCACTCTCTGAACTCTCACGGTCAAGATTTTGGACGTCAGTGATTTGAAATGTATCACTGTTGCCCTCGCTACCCACATCTCCCTCACCTACACAAGCTTGAGTCGGTGTGCTTTTAAAAGTCTCTACAGACTCTTTAAAGTCTGTAGAGACTTTAAAGTCGTCATCTTTAAAGTCGTCATCTTTAAAGTCGTCATCTTTAAAGTCGTCATCTTCCTCAGAGTTTGGCGATTCAACAGTGGTGCAGCTGCTACTCTCACTATCTACAGAAAGGGGAGATGAGATGTTTACACAGTCTTTTAAAATGTTCACTACACTGTAAACCATCCCAACAAAGTTTGTTGGGGATGTGGATCTATCTGATTGCAAGGATGTGGACCCTGTGATACGACTCAGGGCTGAGTTTACGTTCTTTGCAATCGACACTGAAAATAAAGTCAGTAGTTTGTCTGAGTCACAAGACCGCCGTTGCCCACAACCCAAGACCCGACCGAAGCAGTTATGAAAGATGTTTCTGAGGCTGGCCTGAATATCGTCCTCGGTCACCCTGCAGTAACTGCACCCATCAAGCAGAGGTTCAACGTTGATCCTGAAAAGGCAGAAAAAAGAAACGTAGTCAGTCATTTTCCCACACGATCACTGTTTTGTCCAAATCTACAGGCGTCGTTAAAATTAACCACATGGACGACTTCACACGTGATGGAAACTATTCTAAGAGGCAATACGAAGCAATGCTGCGTCCTCTGAAAAACCCTCCATCACCAGGATTACCTGATGAACCATCTCATGTAAAACGTCTAAATAGAAGAAAGACTGAATGAAACTGTTGAATAAAGCAAGCTTTAGATTTACCGGTCAGCGGAGCTTTCTTTGTCTCCGCGATCATGATTATGTGGCCAGCATGAAACCTGTGGGCGTATGACTTTATACACTAAGGTGCTAATGTGCCCTATGAGTGCTCGGCACATCTGGGTCAGCAGATCGACGACATCCGAGGAGATGTCATCAGTGGCTAATGCCGTCCACTGTCTGAAAGAAAAACATTGGGAATGGTTGAGTGAAACAAACCTGTAACCAGTGAATATGTCTGTGTATGCTGAGAACTGTCTCGCTGACTTTGAGCTTGTGACTTACCCGTGCGATAAATTGTCTAAATAGTTTCTGAGGCATCGTTCAATGTGTCCGAATCTGAACAGAGGCAGGCTGACATGACTGCACCTCGGTTCACCAGCTTCATCTAATGGGATCTAGAAACAGACAGATGTCAGTGAGCAGGCTTTCCAAAATAAAAGAATTAGACCAGCAGCCAATGTTCGGTTTTTGTCTCAGCTGCACTAAATAAACAGTATTGGTGCCTCATTTTGGGTGTTTCTGTAACAGTTAGTCCACCAGTACCACTAAGCTTCTCACATATAATCATTGCATTTATTGCATTTTCAAAATGTCTAAAATATTGATGAGAGGTGGTCTGATCAATTTTTCAGAGTCCTACCACGTTCATGTTTCCACAATCTCGTCCGTGAATTCACGTTTTCGCGACAGCTTTGCACAAATTATCACTTTTTCCAGTCTTTCACTCTCCGTCCTCACACTCGATCTGGATAGTTGTTTACTTTTGACAATCAGGAGACCTTACTCTGACGTCAGTTCGTTCGAACGTTCAGCGCCTTTGGCCGTGGCGCATGCGCATGCTTCGCGTTGACTTCACGTGCAGCTTTTCTGTGTTGGATAATGTAGTTTTCATATAATGGCATAGCTACTGGGACACGCCCACCTGGCAGTACTGCGGTCTTTTGCGCTCCAGGCATCGTTTGAACGTCGAGGGGAAGTTTAGCCGAAATGAAGGACAGTATTTACAGAAGGGCGCAGAGTATGGCACCAACATGTGAGCGCAGCTCTCCCAGCCCTGCTTTACAGCTCAGGTCACTAATTAGACAGTTAATGATGATTATGAGTCTCCTCGTGAGCTAATGCTATTGGAGGATTTTAAGCATCCTTACTAGAGATGAATAATGTTCGTAAATGAACACAAGGTGACGTTAATGTCGAGCTGCACCGTGCGAGGCTTGAGTCTGGTCGTGAGACCACCTCACGTCCACATGATGGTGAATACTGTTATTAAAGGATCACCTGAAGCGTAAACAGCAAGCCTCATTACAACTGAAAGGGCTGGGATTGATTACGGCTGTAGAGCAGCGCTCGTTGCTCCACTGACCGGTTTAACGTCAGACAGTATTTTCACAGACAGAGTTTAAGGATAAATACAACAAAATAAAATGATACGACGGTGGTATTTTGTAAATATAACAATAAACGCGAATTAACCGTGTAATTGTGTAACTTTATTAGCCAGTCAAGACTGAGAGTAACTCTCTGGTCGCTATGGTAACGTGTAAACATTTCTTTCAAAATAAGACACACAGCTACAACACGGGAAAGACCCAGGAGAAACCGAGTTAATTATAAAAAA